AGCAAGAAATTTTAACACATGAGAGTACTCACAAGGTCAAAGGTGCATGTACAGCTTCCTATATTAGGTGTAATACCACCATTGATTTTCCCCTATTAGTCTTTGTTAAATTTGCACTTTTCAAAAAATTGTGCAGAATTTATCTTTGTTTCAAATAAAGAAATACTTGGCATGAGTAAAGTTTGATCCTGTCCAGTACTATAGAAAAAATTTCACATAACATTTCATTGCATATAAGAAAATAACCATCACTGGAAGTTAACCAATCAAATTTTCCCCCTTTTTTAACCTGTATACAAGCTTTAGTAACCATGTAACCTCAAGTTTCCAAAATATTCTATAGAAACCCCAAATAAAAAAATAATGGTGCTTTGAAATACCCAAGATATATGTTTATGACCCAGAAATGTTTTACTGCAATGAAATGTAGGATCAATTACCTACAACTGTCAAATTCAAGGGAATATTTTTTTTCGACCTATTTTCGTATGCAACCGGATGTGACGTACTATGATTTGGTGGTATTACACCTATAAAAATGCCTTTTTTGACCCCTTATTCCTAAACAGTTGGGACCATAACCCCCAAAATCAATCCCAACCTTCCTTTTGTGTTATTGAACCTTGTGTTTAAATTTCATAGAGATCCATTCACTTATACTAAAGTTATTGTCTGGAAACCAAATGTCTTCGGACGACGACAACAACATGATAGGAATATACAAATGCAAATTTTTTGCAGTCATATAAAAATGAATTAAGATTTCTAATTAATATTTTGACAACATTTTAGGTTAAATTTTGATTTGAAAACTTGGGAGTTGTTGAAATCTGTTCAAAGTGAGCAAGAGGAAATGTCGACCTGCCAACCTTCTCGATTCATAGGGATTACCAACATGAGAAATGTTCATGTGACTCTTAAAATCCTCCATTTTATGAAGACAACTGAATATTTTCAAAACAATGAAGCTAAATGGCATTTAAGCACATATATACTATATTTGTAGAAGTTGGCTAGTAAAGTAAAGGGAAAGTCCTCTTCATTTGTAGGGTATGCATGCCAAGGAAGTCTTTAGCTTATATACAGGACTTTTTCTGCCAAAGGTCAGTGGTTCTCTCCAAGCACTCTACTTCCTCCTCCAATAAAAACTGACTGCTATAAAATAGCCAATAGCGTTGAAATTGGCATTAAACACCAATAAATTAATCAATCAGTTATATCCAGGAAGATCTTACTTTGTACACAACATTATGATTTCACTTCACAGTGTCACACACCCTAAATTTCCTAAGAATATGCCAAATTTTTTTCAGGGTTCCTATATACAAATGATATATTTTGCTTAATTTGCAAAAATCAAAAAGAAAGGTTTTGGCTTTGTGACCTCTGCTCATAGCTTTTTATGTTTAATTTGTGATGTTGGGTGCTGTCTCTTTAGCACTAACATGTGTACCAAACAGAGGCAGATTTTAGGGGTGCCCAGCCCCCCTCCTTTATGGAGCCTCATTTATGGTTAATCCAGACTTTTTACTGGTTTCACTACAAATTTTATCTAGTTCTTGGGGCCATTGACCCCCCCCCCCCCCCCCCCCACCTTTTCAAAATCCTGGATCTGCATCTGCCAAAATGACTCCTATTATTCAAATCAATAGTCTAGATTATAGGACTATGCTGAAATTTCCAACTTTAAAAAAAAAAGAATTCACATAAATTTTAAAAAATGTACTTATAGCAGCTGATCTCATAATATTGATGATGCTTTAGAATGTAAACATTGACAAATATTTGTATCAGGCCAGTGAACAGTGACGTAACGATGTTTCCTATAATTTGCACTTTCATGAAAATATTATGACGACATGGTAAATAACAAATTGATTGCTTTAGTCTAATATAGTACAATGGCTCCAACAAGTGAAGCCATTATCCCCAACTGCATTTATCTATTTTAGATCTCCTTGTCTATATTGGGAATTTTTATGACAGCAGAATCAGCGACCTAATCAATCTCATGATATTCCATTTATCAGCTATATTGTACTTTTTATTACCATAGCTGATACTCAACTGGGAATGCGATGAACGACTTTAATTCCAATGTTCAGGGAGGATATAAGAAATGCACTTATATTAACTTTGGAATTCCATAACAATAGTTTCTAGGAAACTAATTGTAAGCTAGAGATTCGAAGACAAGGAAACATTAGAAAATACTAATTATGGACGCAGCATGCTAGCAATAAAGAGACGGCATATTCATATACTTGTATTCTATGTATGACGTGATTCAGTTAAGAAACATACTTGACGACATGGTAAATAACAAATTGATTGCTATAGTCTAATATAGTACAGTGGCTACAACAAGTGAAGCCATTATCCCCAACTGCATTTATCTATTTTAGATCTCCTTGCATTGTCTATATTGGGAATTTTTATGACAGCAGAATCAGTATACATGGATCTACAATCTGTCGATACCTGTATCTTGGCATTGCACAAGGTCATGTTTTTCTCTGACTGTTTATGAAGTCTTTACACTAAATCCATTGGATGTTGGATGTGTACGGATTGATAATTTAGTCTTAGATGCATGATTTTTTTTATTAGTTGTTAGTGGCTTTGAACTAGCTGTCAGTAACTGCGAGTACTCTCAGATCTGTACTTAGTGTCTTTTTGTTGTTTGGATGTACAAGTACCCGGCCACGTCCACTTGCATTTGTAGTATTTGCATTTTTATCCATCTGATGAGTTAAGCCTCTTTCAACTGATTTTTATAGTTCGTTCTTATGTTGTACTGTTACACCACTGTCCCAGGTTAGGGGGAGGGTTGGGATCCCGCTTACATGTTAACCCCGCCACATTCTGTATGTATGTGTCTGTCCCAAGTCAGGAGCCTGTAATTCAGTTGTCGTTTGTTTATGTGTTACATATTTGTTTTTCATTCATTTTTTGTACATAAATTAGGCCGTAAGTTTTCTCATTAATTGTTTTACATTGTCATTTCGAGGCCTTTTATAGCTGACTGTGCGGTATGGGCTTTGCTCATTGTTGAAGGCCGTACGGTGACCTATAGTTGTTAATTTCTGTGTCATTTGGTCTCTTGTGGAGAGTTGTCTCATTGGCAATCATACCACATCTTCTTTTTATATATTCTTTACCCAACTCCCTTACTTGAAAATTGTGCAGGTATGATAAGGTAAATCTTTTGCTGTATAAAACTCCCAAAAAAAAATCAGATCCAAAAGTAGAATAGAAGATTCTTGATACCTATAGCATAATGACATTTTTGTTTTTGAAACTAACTTGATCTGGCCACAACTTGCGACAAGGATGATCTGATATTCGAGCTGATGAAGTCAGTGCTATAAAATAAAATGTCATTAATCTTTTCATCCATAATTTTGTCTTAACAATGTTTTTTGCATGATTGATTGGTGTTTAACACCACTTTCAACACTATTGTGCCATTTTGTGGCAGTCTGTTTATTGGTGGAGGAAGCCGGAGTGCCCGGAGAGAACCATGACCTTCGGGAGGAAAACTGACAATCGTAGTCAATTAAGATTGGAGTTGAGTGCACCTGCCCAGCACAGGATTCGAACTCACAAACTCAGTGTTGACTGGCTAGTGATAACAGTAGTTCGACTATTTAGACCACTCGGCCTCCGAGGCCCCTTTTTTGCTTGAGAATATGAAATAAAATGAAATAGTAAGTAAAACTATTTATAGGCATAGAAAACATTCAATTTTATGAATAAATTCGAAACTGCCTACATTTTATTGACAAATGGATGCGGTTGGACTTTTACATGACGTCATTGCCTAATATTTTCGAGTATCAGGTCCTGTCCATGATATGGGAAAATATAATGCAGTATGATCAAAAGGAAAATGTACAAATTGCAGATAAAATAACTTAACCTTGTGTCCCCTACTGTCTGCCAGGGTTACAATTCTGCCCCATTACCCACAATGGAGAAGCCTAGGAGTGATTCCCTCCTGCCGGAATTAATGCATTCAATTTGTTGAGTAAGCTACATTGAGTAATTTGACTACACAAGTATATTCATTTTAGATAGTAGGTTTAACAAGGCCCCAATATGGCCCTTATTTTTAGCTTGAGTTTTGGGCCTCTATGAGGTATAAAGGACAATGCTTTATATGAAAAGCTCAACAAAAATTAGTTCTACTTCACTTTCTTACATGCCTTTTCATCATCATCTTGAAACACTTTTTATTTTGAAACAATGACTAAATATTTGAGGCCAAAAAGGTCCCTTACCAAACTTACTCCTTTGTTTGTGATAAGAAACATCAAAATTCCAAGAAAATGTCACGTTTGTAGTGTAAACCAGTAACTTATTTGGATGAAGTTAAAGACTGACATATGAAGAAACAAACTTGCTTTAATTGAAAATTTAACATGAAATAAATCCCTCTTCACCTGAAGAATAAATATTCATTTTCTCGTTTGAATTGTTTTACATTTGGCATTTCGGGGCCTTTTATAGCTGACTATGCAGTATGGGCTTTGCTCATTGTTGAAGGCCGTAAGGTGACCTATAGTTGTTAATTTCTGTGTCCTTTGGTCTCTTGTGGAGAGTTGTTTCATTGACAATCATACCACATCTTCTTATTTTTATATTCTTTATAGTCCCAAAAAAGTACTGAACATCAGCAAAAAATAACAAAATAAGCATTCAAATAGTGTTGTAAATGTTTAAAAAATTACGCCATAGTTGTAAAGTGATACAAAAAACTGCAGGCATTATATAAATTAGTCCAAAAACATTCCACAGAAAACAAATGGTTGAGCAACACAATCTTCCCTAAATACAGGAGGTGAACAGATCAGCACTTTCAGAAAGGTAAGTAATTCCTGATCCACAGTAATAGCTGCTTTCCCTACATGTACTTGTTCATGTTCTCCCAATAGTATGAACCATTGTACATACATGTACTTATAATTAATTATAACTAATAACATTTTTAAACTTACATTTTCATGTTTGAATCTGGTTAAAATTTTAATTTCTCGGAGTGTGCGCTGGCAATATGTCTGATGTTCAAATGGAGATATTTTCTTAATGGCTACTTTTTGGCCTGACCCAGAATCTTGAGCTGATCTGTAATAAAACAAAGCTTATTAAATTAAAGGTACTGAGAGCTTTTGTTCACAAATACACCTTATCGCTATTTAGTCCAATCTGGAAAAAACAGTCATTAAGACAACTTCCTGTTTGGGTCAACAGGGAAAAAACAAAGATCATCAGTAACGAGCTGAGGGAGGGAAAAATTTAGAAAGCGATCAATAGGAAACTTTGATAGATTATGATCCACTTTTTCGATACTCAAATTATTGTCAAAAAAATATTTTGTTTGAAGTATTTACGATGTTTTAAATAGGTCTCATTGAAAAGTATCATGCATGGTGCATTGTTTAAACAGGGTCCCAGATCATAGGCGAATCCAGGGGGGCCTGGGGGACCCAGCCCCCCCCCCCCCCCCCCCCCCATTTATGGGAAAAATTTGGTTGATTATATAGGGAATCACTGAAGCATGACAGAAGCGGGCCCCCCTTATGAAAAGTTCTGGATCAGCCACTGCAGATAGCTTCAACTGGATGAAAAAGTTGTGTAATTTTAGAACTTATCCGGAATTGAATAAATAGCGATTAGGTGTATTATATTCCCGCTAGAAGTAATTAACTTCCCTCCCATTTCTAATTATATCACAGACAGAACAGAAATGTAAAGTTTGCCTATGGCAATACAGGTCATGCAGGTGTCCTCCCAGCATTCAATGATGGCATGGAGGATCTCCAAAATTTAAATATAAAATTTCCTGAATTTTTTGGCTGTAAAACTTCTTTTCACTCAAGCTTCAATTTAAAAGGCTGCTTTTTTTTTGTTCTTTTCCCCATTTCATCATTTTTTTTATAAGATTAGGAAAGCACAGCCTTAGAACAATTTATCATATCCAAATTAGTTAAACACAAAATGACTGTGAATAGTCCCAGACACAGCTCTTTTGAAATATCAATGATATTAAATTGAAAGACAGCATGTTTTGTTTGTTGAGAAGATACAGGTAATAAAAAGTATAATGCAAGGATGGATTTGAATAACTTATATTTAATGTTATAGTTCTGTATAAAGTGACACAAAATTAAATAAACGATATCATTATTCATTCATTCTTCAATGAGGAAGCAAATACTGTTTTATTAGGATACAATTCATGAAATTAATCTTCAACATGTCCCTCATTAAATGAAACATCAACTTCAAATACTATACAAAAGACAAGCAATAAAAGCAATGAGATAAAATGTCAATGTTGTTATTAACCTGGGGGTTATATTAACTTACATAACCAGCAGTGCTCATTACATCAAGGACTTTTATAAATAAACACAGATCTTTTACACCAGAAGGAAAGCATTAGAATGTATTTATCTCAATCAATTTGCATTTCATACAGTATTAAATATAATAGTAAAGTTTTGTTAACCTGCTCTGATGTGTGGACTTTTAAGATGCATGATTTTTTTTAAAACATGTTCATGATGTTTATATCTTTTACACGCGCACCAGAAGAAAAACATTTGATCAAATGTTTTAAATTCAATAAATTTAATGTGTTTCATCAGAGACTTATATTTACCGGTACATGTACAAGGCTAAAATAAATTTCTATTAACCTGTTACAGCTTAAAATCTGAGTAAACATACCATGCATTAAATTGTACATAATGCATAAAATTGTGCATTATGCATAACATTGTGCATAGTGCATAAAATTGTGCATAGTGCATAAAATGTAGCTATATATAGGTTTAAATAAGTTAAACATGTGCATGTAGATATACTAAATTTAAATAGTTTTGTGTGCCAGTAAGCAATGGTAAGGTTTGTAAGCTATTATAATTATCACAAAGTGTCAAGTCATCCTTTTGATACATGTTCCATGATTATAATAATATTTTTTACTCTTTCAAAAATATGTTAAGAAATGTTATACTGTTTTCTTCACCCATCTAGCCCAAGTTTCTATTTTCATTTTTGTAAACACCTAATAAATTTGTTGTTGCTCATCTCAATATTCTTCATCTCTCATCAGCTGTCAACAATGGAGTCAATGATCTAACAAGAAAACCTGATCAGGATTATTTCTTTTTAAGCATGGCTTTAAAAAGTGTTTTGCTAATTCTGTGTTAAGTTTCAAAGAAATCCATTTTGAAGTTACCAAGTTAGTTTTCATAATAAAATTGAGAATGGAAATAAACATGTATATATACCGGTTCCTTTTATACAATGAATATACATACATGTACATGTTTATTAAACAGAGACTACTGTGGCTTCATTATCATACGTGAAGTACCAATTTTCATGAATTTTGTGGGTCAATGCATGTAAACCACAGATCTAAAAGTTCAATGAAGAATAAATTATCTATAGGCTTGTATGTGTTGTAGGCTGACTTTGTCAAAACCACAAAATCAATAAAGTGCTGTACCATGAACGCATGATACGCCTATCGCTTTTTCAAAGAATAAAGTTCAATAAATCCTCAATATCATATCAGAAATTTATTAAATAAAACTAAAGGGAGGTTATTTTAATAGATATAAAACAGTCACCAAAGTTTCATGAAAACTGCTCAAAGCACTTTTGAGTTATTATCCGAAAACTTGAAAATCTCCTTTTTTTATGAATAAAATCATATAACTCGGAAATGTTAAATCTAAAATTTATAAAAAGCAAAGAGACTTAAGTCAATAGATATAAAAAATTCACCAAAGTTTCATGAAAACTGCTCAAAGCATTTTTGAGCTATTGTCCGAAAACTGGAAAACCCCCCTTTTGTAATGAATAAACCCCATAATTCGGAAACGTAAAATCGAAAATTTATAAAATTCGAAAGGGAGCTCATGTCATGCAAATTGGTTAAAGCGTTTATTAGTTATTGTCCGACATATTGACGATGGACAGACAGACAGACAATGGTATACCATAATATATCCCGTTAAAGGGCGTGTAAAAACGGATGCAAATAAATATTTTCCTCAATGAACTAAATTGATACCCGCCAAAATAAATGAATCAACAGTATCAACAGAGTTGGAAATTATAGCCCGCCCGACCGCCCGAGATGGCCTATTTTACGATCGGGCGGTCAAAAATTAAATTTCAACAGTCCGGTGGACGGTCTATTTTTTGCAGGTGGTTGGGATTTCCTTTTTCTATTTTTGGAATGAGTTCTCAGTATTACCCCATTCATAACAGCACGTAAGATTCATGACTGCCAATTAACCTTTTACTTCCACATGTTTCCACACGATTTCTGCAGGGAACATGGTGATACCTGTTGTTTGTAAGATCCGCACTCATTGGCTAGTTGGTATCGAATTGTCCAATCGCGATTGCGTTTATTAAATAAAAAATAAATATTAGAGGAAATTGAAAGTACAAATTTGTATTTGCTTAAAAGTAATTTTGTGGAACAAAAGTACAAACAAAGGCATGCTGAATTACACTGAAGACAAACTAACACCCCCTAGTGCCCACCCCAAATTCTAATAAAATGCTCCGCAGGGCGCAGCTTGATACGACCGCAGAGGTCGAACCCTGAACAGTTGGGGCAAGTATGGACACAACATTCAAGCTTGATACAGCTCTGAATTTGGATTGTGATTAAATATTTGACACAGCATAGGTTTCTGACACAGAATGAATGTGGTCTAAGAACTTAAAAATTTTAAATTGGACATTCACCTATTATGGTCCAATATCCAAAATCTAGATTAGATTCAGCATATCAAAGAACCCCAAGAATTCAATTTTTAATTAAATCAAACAAAGTTTAATTTTGGACCCTTTTGATCTCAATGTGGACAAAAATGATAACAGGGCCCAAAAATCAAAAATCTAAATACATGGTTAGATTCAGCATATCAAAGAACCCCATATATTCAATTTTTGTTGAAATCAAACAAAGTTTAATTTTGGACCCCGATTTGGACCAACTTGAAAACTGGGCCCATAATCAAAAATCTAAATACATGGTTAGATTCAGCATATCAAAGAACCCCATATATTCAATTTTTGTTGAAATCAAACTAAGTTTAATTTTGGACCCTTTGGACCTTTATGTAGACCAATTTGAAAACAGAACCAAAAATTAAGAATCTAAATACACGGTTAGATTCGGCATATCAAAGAACCCCAATAATTCAATTTTTGATGAAATCAAACAAAGTTAAATTTTGGACCCTTTGGACCTCAATGTGGACCAATTTAAAAACGGGGCCCAAAATCCAAAAACTTAATACACGGTTAGATTCAGCATATTAAAGAACCCCAAGAATTCAAGAATAAAACCCCATTGAAATTGATCAAGAAATAAGCAATTTATACGAAGTATCTTCTTTTGCACAATACTGTGCAATTAATTATTTCTTGCTATTGCGCAATACTGTACAATTGACAATTTCTTGCTATTGCGCAATATTGTGCTATTGGATATTATTTGCTATTGCGCAATACTGTGCAATTGAAGATTTCTTGCTATTGCGCAATACTGTGCAATTGAAGATTTCTTGCTATTGTGCAATACTGTGCAATTGAAAATTTCTTGCTATTGCACAATACTTATTATATAATAATTTACACATCCTGTTTGGTGTGTATCTCCTACCATATCATTATTATTTGCTTTTAAATATAAATCAGAAATAACCAACTTAAAAAGGAAAATTTTAAAAGAAAAAAAAAAGGAAAAAAAGAAAAAAAAAAGAAAAAAAAAAATCCCCCCCCAAAATTTTTTGAACCCCCTTATGATTCATCACCCCCAAACTCAATCTCAGCCTTCCCTTTGTGGTATGGTACCTTGCAGTACAATTTCAGAGAGATCCATACACTTGAACACAAGTTATTGTCTAGAAACTAGAAAAATGCTTATTTTTGGCCCCTTTTTGGCCCCCAATTCCTAAACGTTCCGGGCAATTACCCCCAAACTCAATTCCAGCTTTCCCTTTGTGATATGGAACCTTGTAGTACAATTTCAGAAATATCCAAACACTTACACACAAGTTATTGTCATGAAACTAGAAAAATGCTTG